GGATCCAAGTAATTCAGGCTATCCAGAATCAGAAATTAATTTAACATAAAAGAAAGAGGAGAATCACATATTTCCAGACAGATCTTAGGGAACCTGTGCACATACAATGTCAAGGGAGAAACAGTTTGATTAGATTTTAACAGCTTTCTAATTTTATCATTCATTTTATACATGTATGCTACCGTTGATACAAGCAATACAAATTCCTTTAAAAAACAGATGTTGATATAACATTTGATAATTTAAACAGTTTACATGCATGGGTTGTTTTTGACCCTGTCTTCCTCAAATAAGAATAATACTAACCTACAACTACTCTGATGTTCATCTATTTGAATTAATTGAAGGTTGAAAAGAACAGGTAACTGCAACAAAACCTAAACTGATGTCTTATAAAAGGTAACTTACAGAAAAAAAAAAAAATTTAAAGCTTTAAAGACATGATCTTGTGATATGCTCTTTCTACGATTATACTTTTTGTAATAAGTTCTGCATTTTCTCAATGGTCACAATTTTTCCAAGTCTTAACCTGGTAAAAAGAAACGCAGTTAATTTGATGACAGCTTTGTTAGGAAACTGTTGGGACTATAGTTCAGGCAGGTCAAAAGAAAAAAGATGGAACCCAATATTTCCCATCTGAGTAAAAAGATGAGGGAGTGACTGGATGCAGATAATTCTCTAAGCCTTTACATGTATGTTGATTTCATATGCCTGCAAATAATAAAATAAAACATCTTTATCACTGCAACACTGTTGGGAAACATGTCTGAGACTCCTGGGATTTCTACAACTTCTCCAGCACACTTCAGTTCATACACAGTCTACTGGTCATGATTTTGCCCAACAGCAGAATCGTCTGTACATATACATTCTTTTCATGGTTGTGGTTCTTAAGGAGCAATTCTTTTGTGTATACATAGACTTTTCTTTTGTGTATACATAGACTTGAATAATTCTCCCAGAGTAGTTCTTATTCAAGGTGATACAGGGAACAACAGATTTCATTTTTCCCATCAACCCATTTCTGGTAGGCTATATGTGAGATACATTTTGAGATCTTTGTTTTTGATGAAACTTTCTAATCTGAGGTTCTTCTGTCTTGCTGACAGTCAATCAAACAATCCACTTACTAGTGAAGTCCTGTTATATTATAGTGAAAAATTGATTTTGCTATTTAATCCTATCTTTTGAAAATGTGACTCGACAAAGTATGGTAATATGTACATTGTGCCCATTCTTTTCTTGGCAGCAAATCATCTCAAAATGACATATATTATTAATTAGCATGTGTTTTAATATTTCCTAAGCTTGGAGATGTAACTCAGTGTAGAAACAACTGAAGTCTAACACCTAGCAACACTCTCTTACCATCTGTACCTTGCTGACTTGTAAGACATTCACTGAGAACAGGTTTTTATTCTCTGCCACATAAGAGGTTTGCATGCCCCGTCCTTTCAGGGCCTCTTCTCACATAAATTCTGGCCTGATCAATCAGATACCACTGGAAAAAGTATGCACAGATTGCACCTTACCATTCCAGGCTTTTTGAAAGTGAGTTAGGATGAGAGTAGGTGAACCTGTACATATTTCAAGACACAAAGTTTTATAAATGCATTTTTCTTATCATTAGATTGTAGACTGACCTACAGTCTTGATGAACACAGCCACAAGAAATCAAGAGAGTTGTATATTAGCACTTAGGACACTGATAAATTATGGCCTTACCTAATTGAACTCTGCTGGATCATCAGATTTCTGTCACAGACTAATGAAAACAAAGAAGATTAATGAGATCACCACTGAACTAATGGTATTTGATTCTACATGGCTAGCTGTGGAACAGCTGTCCCAGCACTACAGAAGGTTAATAAAGAGCAGAATAGTCCCAAGCACGGTTACATTAACAGTGACAAGCTCAGAAGGGCAGAAAGATATCAGAAATCCTTCTCTTTCTTTGTCTCAAGTTTAATTCTGATTTGGAAAGGTTTCTAGTCCACAATAATTTCTATACATCTGAATTTTCACATATGGAGGTTCAAGCATCCAAAACCAAAGAGTATTTTATAGCTTTATAGAACATTTTTTCCTGTATGAATTAGGATGAAAACATTCAGAGCTCCAAAATTTCTGCTGGTGTTGCACTATAGCATTACCTTACAACTGCAAATGACAAAACCAAAAATGTGTATACTGCAACTGCACTTCAGTTTTACTGGTGTGTCTAATTTGTTGCTAGTAATAGTAAAGTATATATACTAGGATGACAGTGCTTCTTCCTGTGCCAGTGGTTCCATCTGAGGCACATAACTCAGATGACCCTGAGTTACTTTCCAGATCCTTAGCTTGCATAAACTGGAGAAAATACCACATCTGATCTAGCATGAGAGTACAACAATGGTAGCCATAACAAGGCAAAAGAAACCAGTGAAAACAGTGCAAGCAGTGATACCTTGGGAGATTATTATCCTTCCAAGTAGTTTGCAAACATAGAAGAGAATTATTTTCCATGGGATACATATGTTGGAGTTTAATTTGTATTTTTGTGCCAGTATTATAATTGTTATTACAGAGTACACACAAACTTGGAGGATATTGAATGATTATCTCCTTAAAATGTAAACAAATATCTGCCTAATCTGCATGCGCAACCCTTTCAGTTGTTATAAATACCCTACTGAGAGCAGAAGTTCATTTAAGCAAATATAGCTGGCTATCTGCAGTTACTGTTATTCCAAAGCTTTCATTGTGGAAACCCAGTTCTAAAATTTACACCCATTTGTGCCAAAAACGCAGCCGTTATATACAATAAGAATAGATTTGATTTTGAATGTTCTCAGGGAATCTTGAGTAAACAAAACATTGAATATTACTTAATAAAGCCAAACTCAGCCAGCGCTTTAAGCTTTATGTCAGACTGACTACTTGCTACACTTAGACACAAAGCTCCAAGAAATGCCTTTGATTCAGAGAGTCATTCTTCACAGCCCCTTTCTTGTTTCTAGGGTGATATACTTCCACAGGTACAAAATAATTTCCCTTTTACCATTTAGTTCTCTACTGAAGTGCATTGTTTATGTGGATCTATCCTCTTCTCCTGTTTTCTCTAAAACATTTTACGTGATGTCTGAGGACTCCAAGATTAAGAAGTTATTGCAGGAGTGCTTTAGGAAGGATTGTTCCTTTGTGCAGTGGTTCACATTACAGGGTAATCATCAGTCAGATCCTGGCACTGGAAGAACCATATTTACTTTACAGCTTGGTCCAACCAGTTACTGAGTAACACTGCTGCATTGTGCAGGGAGCAGTAGCATGGCTGAATGAGATGCATACCTGAAAATAAATTTAAGGAAATGGCAATCCTTTGATAGCTTAGAAAAACGAACAAGTGGCTCCATATCACCTCACGTAGGTATCCAGTGGCAGTAGTTGAAGAACTACATAGTGGTTTTGATTGTGAATTCTGTGCACACCATATGGTTTGCTGCTAATCTTTCTGCATCTTTTCAAATTGAAGTTCTACCTACTCATCTTGGAAAAAATACTCAGCACATGTACATACAATCTTGTGCACCTCTATATAATAAAAGAAAAATATAGTAAAGTCATCAGTATTCACACATTATTTTCCCTCAGATTTTCTTTGCCTGCATCCATGAAAATAACCATACTTATTTGCTCTTTAATTCGTAGCTTTGCAGAGTGAGTCTGATGACTCACTGCTCCTACACAGTAAATTCAATGTTATTTGTCTGATCTACCACACTTGCACACATCAGCTGTCTAATATAGACAGTGTAGATTAGAAATGCATCAGTCTAACTCTTTGCCTGCATCAAAAACTGCTCAGCACACATCAAGTAGCCATTTGTCCAGCAGCTCAATCTTCTCTCGTTCAAGAGCTCAAGGAAATCCTAGGTAAATAGCTGAAGTTTTCCTAGACAGAATTTCTGACTGAAACAGAAAGGAAGCATAAATGACGTTCATGGGTTGAGACAGAAGCCACACAAAATTCAGGAGTCTCATTTTACTATATAGTTCTCTTTAAATGTGACTCACAGTAGTGATTCTAGAAAAAAAAAAAAGTCCAGTATAGAGCCTATACAAAGAGATGCTTGTGACAAAACCAGGTTAAAAATTAAGTCTTCGCTCTTCAATAACGCAGGAAACACTAATTGCTAGTAAATTTGAAAGAAAAGAAAAAAAAATATCTGGAAGTACGTATTCTTAGAAATTTATCTTTGTCACATATCCAAGAAAAACACAATAATGAAACACAATAATGAAACAATAATGAAACAAGATCCTTTAGCTCTTCCAAACTATAGAAAATTTTTAACATATATTGTCTCTCCATAAGCATAGCATCTCATCAAACATCAGCTTTTTCATGAAGGATCTCATCTGACCAGTGTTAGACAAAAAAGGTCTAATATTTCCTTTAGCTAACTGGACAATTGTAAATTTAACTCTTAAATATATCTTGTAGTAACTTAAATAAATAAATAAATAAATAAATAAATAAAATGAAACCTTAAGAACAGTCTTTCATACACAAGATTATCAGCTGAATTAAAGGCATTTTGGGTAAGAATATACCTACACAGTGTGCAGAAATTACTTAGTCCAGACCTAATACGTAGGTTTCCAGAGAAAAGACTGTTGTAAAATGGACAAAAAAAGAGACTAAAGATAAACCCAATGAAAAGGACACAATAAAGAAGCCTCATCATTCAAAACCAAAACTGGACAAACAATATGGTTTTGGGGTTTGGCAGTGTTCTGAAGGAAAAAAATAAAAGGAAAAAACAGAACTAATATGGATGGTTTGGCCTTTTAGAAGCATATTAAAAAAAAATCAAGATAACTAAGCTGACATTTAGTCTCAAAACAATATTTTAATGGTGATATGAATTCACTAAATGTTTTGCTCTACACAAAACTTTCATTTGACACAATTTGTGCTTTTGAATAAAAAAATGCTTGACCTCCATGAAACAGTCTGTAACGTGTTGAAGACAATGTAAGATTTATTGTCAGTAATGTATTGAGACATCATCCTCCTTGAATTCATGGGAACTGTAGGTCACAGACATAACTGACTTATTGACTTCATCATTGTCATTTTGCTATAAAACAAAAACAAAGTGATGAGCCTAGAGTATGTCCCAGAAGACACTTCAGGGCTGGCAGTCAAGCCTCCTCATTAATCTGGAAACAAAAAATAGTTTTGAGATTTTGAATCAAACAGGAAAAAAAAAAAAGTACTGATAAAATACATTCTAACTTGAAGAAGAGGTTCAGTTTGGCAGCATATCATTGTAGAATAACTAAAATATTCACAAATAATGGAGAATGCTTTCAGAAGAAAACATTGCCAAGAAGCAATCTGTACTTCACATGCACAATTATCTGGGAAATAAATTGCAAGAAAAAAAAAATAAAGATAAGAATAATTACAAATATTTTTGTAATACAAAATTTTTGTAATACAAAATTTTTCTCCCTAGGAGAAAAAAATGATAGATAGATGATAGCAAAGAGAAAATAACTCAGAAAACAAAAAAATATGAAAACTGTGAATATCCTGGTCTTAGCCAGCAAGTGCTCTTTTGGTTCAGTTTCTTACAGTCGTGACTATACTTTCATTTCAAAGGTTAGAAAAAACTGTTCTTTACAACAGATATCACTGAATATTTTGCTGTCACTACCGCACACCTTAACAACATGTTTGTGAGCTTTTGCTCCCTTGTCACAGTTAGGATCTGAAATGCCATGAAATAAGTTTTCTCCCTTTGTGCTACACCATACACTATTACAACTTTTCAAGTATAGATTGGTAAAACACATATAACAATGAACAAGAGGTTTGCAATTTGGGTTTGGAAGGGACCTTAAAGATCATCTAATTTCAATCCCCTTGCCTTGGGTAGGGACACCTCCCACTAGACCAGGTTGCCAGGGTCCCATTCAACTGGACCTTGAACACCTCCAGAGATGTGGCATCCACAGCTTCTTTGGGCAACTTGTTTCAGTGCCTTGCCACCCTCTGAGTGAAGAATTTCCTCCTAACATCTAATCTAAATCTCTCCTCTTTTTGTTTCAAGTCACTAGTCCTTGTCCTATCACTGCAATCCCTGACAAAGAGTCCCTCCACAGCTTTTTTATAAACCCCTTTTAAGTAATGGAAAACCACTATAAGGTCTTCCCAAAGCCTTCCCTTCTCTAGGCTGAACAACCCCAAATCCTTCAGCCTGCCTTTGTAGGAGAGGCACTCCAGCCCTCAGATTGTTGTGTGTCTTTTTCCTTCATGCCAACGTTCCCTCACTACTGCTGAAACATGAGGCAGTGCCTCTACAGCAATTTATTCTAAGAACCACACCTTTCAAAAGAAACTGAATCAACACTAAATTCCATACGCATGTGCCATACAGCTCATCAAAAGTACATCACTCTCTAGCTCTTCTCTGAACAATTACTTTATTTTACAGTGTCTATATGGAGTTTTAAAATTTACATGATCAACTTTTCAAAATAAAATTGAAAAAATCCAACTAACCTGAGAGGAATTAAAGCAATGTCTTCTCAGATTTGTCTCTAAGTCCATGGGATCTACAAGTAGAAAAAACAAGAAACACCTTTAACAATAAAGTAAGCACAATCAACTTTTTTTTTTTTTTTCTGATTTGGTTCTTTCAGCACAATCAGTTGACTTTCATGAAAAAATACAAAACAAAAAGCAGATCAAAACAAACAGCTTTGTATAAACTATTTCAGCTATTTCTTTTGCAAGATTAGAGGGGATAGAGATTCTTATGTTATATCTATTTTAAGTACATATGAGTTGCATAGAAACCAAATGTCCCTATATCCATATCTTTATACGTTCCATATATGTGAGCAACTCCTGCTCACATTCTGCACAGTTTTCATCTGGCTGTCAAATGGTTAACTGTTTTGCTTAATTGTAACACATGTTCACAAGCCAGTTTGATTAAGATCAGCTGATACACATTTGCTTTCCTATGTGCTTTTTAAATACTTTTTGGAATATTCAAGCAGGCAAGTGAAAGTGAAGGAAATGGGGAAGAAAAAAAAAGTGCTGGTAAACCTTGTGCAATTCTCACAGCTAATCAGAGTAAATTAGCAAAATTGCCAACACGCTCTTGTCACACTATATGTGAAGAGACAGGAGTATTAATGACAAACAGCAGCAGCTTCTCCAGAAAAATTGCACATAAACACTATTGCTAATCCCATCTCTAAGAAAAATAAGCCACGATGTCATTTGTGCTGTAAACAACAGTGGGCTTGTTTAACAGCAGTATGTTTGCAGTGCTATTCAGAGTCTCTGCAATGACTTTTTGTATGGCACCTTACACAATATTGACTGTCATTGTTGATCCTTAAGCATGTCGGGAATCAATATGGTTAGTAATAGTAATTATAATAAATGAGCATTATGAGTAATATTTTACTGCCAACAGAATCAACAATCACGATTTTTGTCTGTGCTAATTATATTTCCACTCTGGCTGGTAGATAACCAGGACTGCAACCTATGTTTAATGAACCAAACCAATTTATAGTCTTTTATTCTGTACAGAACACAAAGGAGAGATTATGGTGGGAGCATCCTTTGACACACATTTTCGTGCTAGATTCCAGCAAGAGGAAAGATGCCAGTGTTTTGAATGAGCCTGAGGATGCTTGGAAGTGCTTCAGGCAAGAATGCTCAAAGGAAAGCAGCTCTGTCAGGAACGTCCTGCAAATACAGTTTTGAAAAAGACTGTCAAAAACAGCACACATACAACCACAAAGAAATACATTCCTAAGGCTTCACTTGCCCTGTGTGCATCTGTGGTGGTTTCACCCAGCTGGGCAGCTGAACTCCACCACAATCACTCTCTCATTCCCCCTCCTCAAAGGGAAAGGGGGAGAAAATATGATGGAAAGGGTTCAAGGGCTGAGATAAGGACAGGGAGATCACACAACAATTATCATCATGGGCAAAACAGACTCAGTGTATGGAGATTAATGTAATTTATTAACTATTACTAACAAGCTAGAGCAGTGACAAACGAAAAACAAACTAAAAACAAACTAAAAACACCTTCCCCCCATCCACCCTCTTTCACCTCCTTCTCCCAAGCAGCGCAGGGGAATAGGGCTTTGGTCAGTCCTCTGAGGCTTCAGTCTCTGCCCTGCTCCAGCTGGGGCTCCTCCACGGGCTGCTGCATGGAGATCTGCTCCCTGTGGGACCCATGGGCCGCAGTGGGACAACCTGCTCCACCAGGGACCCCTCTACGGACCGCAGGGGAACTACTGCTGCCTGCCTGAAGCACCTCCTGCCCTCCTGCTGCACTGACCTGGGGGCCTGCAGGGCTGGTTCTCAGCCCTCTCTCCCAGCTGCTGTTGTACAGCAGTTGTTTTCACTTCCTTAACTGTGCTCTCCCAGAGGCCCAACCAGTGTTGCTCACTGTCTCAGGCCAGCTGGAGCTAGCTCTGATCTGATAGGGGCAGCTGCCTCACGGAGTCCACCCCTGCAGCCCCCCTGCTACCAAAACCATGTAAATCCAATATATCATCAACTTGATGGCAGTTAATCACCCAAAAGAGCTACTGGAAAACATACAGGAGTAGAAACTAGGGATATGAAATTGAAAAAAAATAATCAATGTTTAGTTTCCAATTTTTAGGGACAGTTGTGTGCCATGTGCATATCTTTATCAAGCTATGTATTTGGTCTCATCTTTCTATCTACAAATTACGAAAATAACCTTGTATGTTTGCCTGTGTTCAAATGTGATACATATGCATATTCCTTGGGAGTTAATAATGCACACAGACAAAAGGTTCAGGTATAAATGAAATTCCTTGGAAAAGTAGTTAGGTTCACCTGCTCTCCTATGCTTCAGTCAGAACGAGTTCTTTTAACTTAAACATTAGTTCAGCTCAACAGCAAGTTGAACAGGAAGTTCAGTTCAATAGCTAAGCACAATAATCTTGCCTACTGAATAATACTTGGGCAACGCAAAGATGCTAGAACACGTCAGTGATGACTTCCTAATGCCTCCACCCTTCCCATCTCACTGCTGCACAACCAGAGCCCAATGGCAGGGAGCATAGTTCAGTAAGAAACAAACCTTGCAAGTCAGTGAAGCAAATGTGTTGAACAAAGCTGCTGCTCAAGATGAACATGTCTGGATAGTGATCTGGTCAAGGACTACTTATATGAAGCCTATCATCCTTTTCTTATCAGGTTTATTAAGGTTTATTTTCCCTAAGGAGTCATAAGGAGTGATAATATATAAAAATATATATAATATATAAAAAAGAGCAGAAAGCACAGGACGCCTACCTGGGCAACCTGCTCAAAGGAACCTGCTTTGGCAGGGGGTTGGACCTGATGATCTCTTGAGGTCCCTTCCAACCCCTACAACTCTGTGATTGTGTGTGTGTGTGAGCAAATCACAAAAGAATTCTATGAGGATGTCTCAGCAATATTTCCAAAATGCAAAATAAGACTAGAATTATAGAATGAGTTTTTTCAACCTTTTTTTTTTTTTTTTGCATAAATAACAAGACACAACTGTAAAAAAGAACAACATTTTTTTTTGTCTGCTTCTATGTTAACAGAATGCTTTGTTTCTCTTTTTAGTGATAGGCTTCTTGAAAAGTAAATTCCACCTCCTATTAAACCCCTTATAAGAAAGTATATATCATAAAGTGGGAAACAAAAACAAGAAAAAAAACTTCATTTCATTTTAAGGATCCTGAAAAAAAAATAGCAGCAAGGGAACAACAACAACAACAAAAAGGCAGACAATACTTTGCATATTCCTTAAGAGAATGCATGTTCGTAAACTAAACATATGTAAACATATGTATACCAACTCACAAAGGAATAAGCCACTGAGAAAGTGGCAGCAACTAATTTATTTTTCATTCAGCAAACCCTGACAGATATGTACTTTCTTTCTTACGAAGAAATGATGAAAATAAAGGAGTAGAAACACTGAAGTGAGAATCCAGCAGTGCTTTCTGGTTCCATTTTTCAATTTTGAGACTTTTTCACAGAACATCCATGTAATAGCTACCTAACACCTCTCAGCGGAGAAGAAAAAAGAACAAAAAGGATAAATCTTTAAGGCTAGATGTTGTCACTGGCAACTCAATCTGGACTTGATGCAGTGATGGAAAATGCCATAAGTCATGTAATTAGCTTGTCCTTAGTAAACACTTTGCTTCATTGTCTTTCAGTTTCTCAAGGTTAACAATACCTTGAAATAATATATTTACCCACTCTGAAAGTAGGATTAAAAATGCATCTGTGGAAGAGTGCTTGGGAGAAAACAGTGACAAGCTCTGTGTGCCATTTCACATCTTCTTCCTCCTTTCAGTTCACCTTGAAACTCATCTGCTGAAAAATACAGTTCTCTTAACTCTCCTTTTAGAAATGATAAAAAGGCAGTACCCATCTTGAAAGGATACTAAAAAACATCGGAACACAAAAACTTTGTTGTGTTCCCTTTGATGCAGCAGTTTCTCTTTGCAATCTCTGTGCTTGTTCAATCCCTAACATATGCATTATGCAGTATTCTGTGATATACATCCCAGTATAATAGGTCTCTGCAAATGCACTGTGTATCTGCATCTGTTATATGTAAAGCCAGATATAGGCAAATATTTCAATTTAACCTTTTTGTTTTTCCATTAGCATAAGAACAAATAAATTGATTAATTATTCAAATTCTCCCATAACACCTAAAAGTAAAGTTTTAATCTATTCACATTAGGTTCTGGAATGTTTTCCTCCTTTACAGCTACAGAGAGTATTTGTTTTATAATGAATTCTCTTAGGTACATACAAACATAAGAAAAACGTGGTTCAACAAAGATAAAATCAACCTCCTACCACCTATACATTGAGATAATTATTGAAAGAATGTAAAGCATCACTGAGCTACTCATAGGGATCCAAGTAACAATAACAATAATGTGCTTTTCTAAGTCCCTCTATTGTTCCTCAGCCCACACTACCTTTGCCAAGAGAAGTCATCTGTATAACTTTGCATGTACACCACACGTTGTCTTTCAATTGATTCAAATATAATAGCAGATGGTCATAAATTGCATTCTCTAAATCACTCCCTTTAAATGACTGGCTTCTGATTTCTGTAGCTTTTGAACAGTGTCCCTTCAACAGCCTAGTAACCAAAGTAGAAGCCATGTGAAATTTTAAAAGCTGAAGGTCCATACCCCATAGAAGCCTTGGCCACCAGTGCAAGTACTGTGAGATACAAGAAACTGGTAACATTTTCATGAAGCAGCTACTATGAACATGAGGAGCACATCTGATTTAAAATGGTATGAAAGAAAATAGAAAAAGTGAATGAAAGAATTCAGAAATATTTGTTCTGAGCATGGAAAACATGCTTTAAAATAACTTTAAATAGTAGTGTCTCCCCTAAAGCTGAATATCCGAAAATTGGTCAAATTGTATTCAGCAGCTGCATATGAGAGCTGATAAGAAACAGCAGAGACAGAAAAGCACCTGCAAGCTGCTTCCCTCTCCTGTTCAGGGATGGAACTGGTTCAAACAGAGTTTATTGAAACTTGGTGGGACAGATTACAACATGAGCTGAAGGAAATACAAGGAAAATCACTTACTGCTTTAAGCCAGGTATCCTGCTCTATAATTCTTCAATTTTTTACTCCATCCCCAAAATAGAGAACATCATTGCTTTGATAAATCATTGTTAAGCAGAAGTATAAATAGGGGTATTTATTTATTCTTTTTTTTTTTAAATTGCATCTGTGAGAGACATATGTTTGGCTTATGAAGTTTATTTGTGGGTCAATACTGCATGTTATAACATGAAAAACTGCTTTCACACAAAGGTTAAGGAAAAAAGCTAGGATGTTATTAATTTCCTCCAGAAAGAGAAATAGAAATTGGGGATGCAGACAGCAGGAAAACTGTAGTTTCACTGCAGTTTCACTGTAGTTTTCTCGAACAGGATGGGACAACTGCTCTTCTGTGCTGGAGACTACTTCTTGCCCCCAGCTCTGTGAAAATCAGTCAGTTTTCAGCAGCTGCAGAGCACCAGCTTGATCACCACGTCTGTTTCATAGAGCCCCAAGGAGCTGAGCCCAGCTGCCAGGGCTGCTCAGCAGCAGAGGTTCTGCTGCTTCCAGTGCCCTCAGCACCCCCCCTAAGACACAAGCATATCCAGAAAGCAGAATTCCCAAATTTCTAAGCTTCTAGCTCTGCAAGAGAAAACCACAGGCAACACACCACAGATAGCTTGGCCTGAACCAGCTGAGCTGCCTGGTGAAAACTGCCACCAAGAAATTCTATTTTGTTATTTATGCTATAGGGGATGGGGATGCATCGCTTATTTACTGCTCAGCAGACACCTCCTTTCCCCTTTCCAACCCCCTTCTCTGCCTTGCATGCAGAAGGCACATTCCCAGTCTTTCTTGAAACTTTCTCAGACTCATTCCCCAAACAGCTTATCAAGTACATGCTATAATGTAGGAACATAAGGAAGTCTTCAGAGAAATTTGCATATGCAGATTGTTCCAGGAATCACAACTCAGAGCAACAGAAGAAATAAACTTCTATACAGTAGGAAAAAGTATCATTTTTGTACATAATTAAGTAATTCTCTAAAATAAAGCTATTTCCCATAGTTAAAAAATAATAACAAGGAAAACTTATTGGCTAATTGTCTTCTATCAGGGAACAGGTAAGGGTAC